CTCCGAGGTTCTCACCTGGCGAAGACAGGACTTGGTTCGATTTTTGCTGGCAACAGGGAAGATTGCGAAAGTTGCGTTGACGTGCGGTGCAAGTTTGTTAGCGAGTTGCCGGGGGAAGGAATTCTGTAGTACAGTTTCTGTGGTGGTTATCAGAGCTTATCAGAGTGGTAACTTCATAACACTTTTCATCATTTTAACAAGTTTGTGGCAGAATTCGCCTAGACAAACAGTCGAATCATCCACTTGAGCGTTGACCGATGGATTCTCTCGGGATCGACAAATTGATCGAACGAGAAGAAAACGAGAAGACTTTCTTTCTCGCGCGTTTCTCAGCCAGCTTGAATCGGATCGAATTAACGCGTCTCCGGATGAAACGAACAGATAACTGGCCGGAGTCACGTGTAACAAGACGGGCGGGAAACAAGAGAAGGAAAGAAAAGCTCGCTAGGAGGGGAAAAGCCGGCGAGATTAAGCTCGCTTGACAGCGGGCTAAAGAAGGCGCAACGTGTTGGTAACGATACAGGGATACGAACAGCCTGCGCAATCCTCCTTAAAAGCTCGAGATAAGCTTCCGTACGGAACTGGAAGTGAAGCTCATAAACATAGTTACCACCGTGGATGTAGCAGATGTCGCGCCCCGTTACAAAACCAGTCGATTGTTTTATCATACCGGCGGCAGACAATGAACTTTTTCCTCTCTCTCTCTCTCCTTCCCTCGCCAATTTCCATTTCCCTCTTCCTTTTATCTGTCCTTTTATCTGCCACAGGGGAGCGTGGGACAACGCGGTTGTAACGAAGACGATCTAATTAGATCCAACAACGAGCAACGTGTCTTTTCATTGTTGTCTCGAGCTGTTCGGTTGGGGTAGCAGAATGAAAATAATCTGATGTTTGTACGGCCTTTGACAATTGAAGTAAAAACTTGGTTACCCGATTTTGAAATCCGATTTTATTGGTAGAGGAGAAGGCAAAAAAATAACTAGGAAATGGTTAGGATCCGCATTATCCGTAGTCTGAATCAACAAATTTCGGTTAAGATCTAGAGAGGGAACATTCTCAGCGTGTAAACTAAATTTCGAATGTCTGGCAATTGGTACTCCCGGTGGGACGCTGTAATTCATCAGATCTCGTAAATCTAAGTTTCACGTGCAGCTTTGTTGTAAAGTTGTTGCACCGCCATACCATATCTCGAATCACATCCCATCCAACAATTAGATTGTTACGATTGTTACGATTGTTACAGCATCGTTGCGCTCGCGTACGGCCAAGTTTGCCTTGTAGAGATTCATTTTTATTGCAACGGACTGTAGGCTGTAATCTTGTCGAATCTGGCGATAAATTTCACTTCTTCGATGAGAGACTGCACCTCGACGGTTACTCGTTGAAATCTATCGAGCTTCTTCACGTCGAGGTGAAAAGAGTGTTCAGCTAACAGCGATGGAAACTTGTCTCGCTGTTCAAAGTTGAAGATCGATGACAAAAGTTGAAGATTCACGTTGTTCTTCGGCCCGGTAACCAAATTACGAATTCTTTCGCAGCGCATCTGCAGCGTCAACTGGAGGACTACATGATGAACTACCCGAAGGTGCAGATCATTCGAGCGCAGAAACGCGAGGGTCTGATCCGAGCGCGGTTGCTGGGTGCGGCGGCGGCGAAAGCACCCGTTCTCACATATCTGGACAGCCACTGCGAATGCACGGAGGGCTGGCTGGAGCCGCTTCTCGATCGGATCGCTCGTGACCCGACGACAGTCGTTTGCCCGGTGATCGATGTTATCGACGACACCACGCTCGAATATCATTGGAAGGATTCCGGCGGTGTGAACGTGGGTGGGTTCGATTGGAATCTGCAGGTAAGCAGAAATTCCTTTCCCGCCGTTATTTCGCGGAAACTGTACGCTATGCCGCTGTGGCGATCGGCAATCGGTAATCGGCAATCGGCTAATCGCCGAGTAAAATTCGTAAAATTATTACCGGCATTTCGACGATTGCTCCTGCGTTCTCGCTACTGATCGATATGTCGATTTCGAATACCCTAGGAATTCGCGTTGTTATCAGTGGAATTTGAAACGTGGTTGTAAAAAAAAAAAAAAAA